TTTTCTTTAAACATACAACAGAAACAGTATCCACGTACACAATTTATGCCTTCCTAAATTTAAGTAATTTGTTGGTCCCCAAATTAGTGAAGATTCCTTGCATGAAGGATTTATACAATTTTGAAAACATTGGAAACTTGGTGTAAACCCATTACATACGAAATTGGTTTTGCAATTTGAATTTTCAAATTTCTTCCATATACATACGCAACTATTCACTTCCTAAAATTAATTAATTTGTTGAATCAAATACGATATTATGATATTGGTTTTGGAATTTAAATTTTCAAATTTCTTCTATATACATACACAACTATTCACTTCCTAAAATTTTGCATGAAGATTTTTACAATTTAAAAATATTAGGACTCTTGGTATAAACATTTTGGATAGCTTTTTTTCACAAAATAAATTTGACAATAAATTTTATGATAAAATAATAAATTAAGTATTATACCAGAATATGTAAAACTATTATTTTTTATATTAAATAATAAATATATATACTAAAATCAAATTTATATTCGTATCAACGTTTTAGTGAGATAATATATTAATTAATTTATATACTAGAGCTGATAGTTAATTTACATACTAGAGCTAATAGGTTGAGGTTTAACGTTATGACTAAAAAAATAACGATGATCAAAAGAGGTGTAAAATAGATGATCTAACTCTATTTTTTTAAACCTAATGGACAGGCCATCTGGAAACTCAGACCCGTACATCGCACAGGCTACGTACTAGTATAATATTAATGTAAACTATAATTCTGGCTAACTAACTATTAGGCAACCACCTATTTCAATATATGTATATAATTTTCTTCTTAAATGTCATACATAAAATTCAATATAAATAAAAATATAATTTATTACTATTTAATAATTTATATTTTATATGATCATAATAAAAAAAATATTAAACAATTTTACTTAAAATTCTATTAAACTTTTACATAAATATAATTTTGTGTGAATTAATTTCCTCATTAAATTAATTTCTTAAATAGACTTAATATTTTAACTACCATCCAGCTCCCACACCACGTCTCTAGTTTTCTTATTTCGAACTGTATTTTATTTTATTTGTATTTGTGTTGCAATATGTATACTACTTAGAACCATTTGGATGTCGCACTTTACAATTATTGTCTACTGTCATATGANGCTATTGCAATTTGCACGTTCGACATTCATAATGTTTTAAATCAAAATTTGGAAAATTCTTAGTCTGGTTGAAACTTTCAACGTGGGTTGAAATTAAGTTGGCAAAGAGAAAGTAAAAATTATACTTGCAGTAATAACTTACAATTTTTGCAAATATGCATGACGATATTAGTCAATAAACCAAAAACAATATAACTGCACCTTAATTTTATTCTTATTATCATCATGTATCCATGTGCCAATTGTAATTACATATCAAGTATTAACAACACAAAAATCAAGACGGCCATATCATCACGAATTTGCACCGGAATTTTTTAGTTATATATTCGTCTATTTAGTGTTGGCCGACACCCTCCGGTGGGGCTCCGACAAAGGGCCCGCCACGTGGTGGCGGCCAGGGGATGACAGGTGGCGGTTTATGAAATGGTATTTGTAATGACCGGTTTTTGGGATGGGCCCAACCTGGATCGGGCGGGCTTGGGCTGAGAATACGGATAGTGCAAAGATGATTATGGTGGCTAAGGAGTGAAAGATCGGGCCGAGTCTGGTTGCCATCTTTTCTATATATATGTATAGGAGTGTGTGTGTGTGTGTGTGTGTGTTTTTTTTTTCTTTTCTCAAATATTAGGTGATGATGGCGGGGATGGAGAGGTGAGGGGTTTTTATATATAGGTGCTAACAATGGTACCTACATTTAAATTAAAGAGAGTATTACAAATTAAAGTTATGTATATTAATTAATGCCCAATTTTTTAAAAGGTGCTACTTAAATGCTACATAATTAAGTTATTAGTATTCAATTAATGTATATTAACTACTAAGTAATAAGTTACGGTAATCAAATTAAGGAGAATGTTATGAAATTAAATTTATGCATGCATATGAATATGATGAAATGAAACCTCTCCCATGCACCCTCTCGCTTCTCTCTCTTGTATTATGCTTTGAATTTTGAACTTCTTCAACACACATCATTGTCCAATACAAAACAAGTTTTAGCTTGTTCCAACATACATATTATTGTCCAATTGACAAATTAATTAATCTTTAGCATTCTTTTGGACACCTATTATTGTCCAATTGACAAGTTCTAGCATTCTTTCTATTTGGAACTTTTCCAAAATTTACTATGTTCTAGTTAGTCATGACCACGGTTCCCGCTTAAGCATGTGGACAAGAGACTTTTCCAAAATTTACTATGTTCTAGTTAGTCATGACCACGGTTCCCGCTTAAGCATGTGGACAAGAGACTTTGAACCGGGAGTTCGTCTTATTTTTTATTTTTATTTTTTTGAATAAACCGATTAGGCCCAAAACAGGCGGTTTGTGAATCGGCCTAGAATCACCGATTCAGGGCCCTCCAAAATGTAGCCCGGAACCCGTCCTTTTTCTAAAATAAATTTTAATATATATTTAAAAATATTTTTAACATAAAAAGAAAAATACGTATTTAAATATAATGTATATATATATATATATAAGTTAGTTATTAGTTAGTTTAAGTATTTGAATGTTTTAAATTATATAAATATTTAATTAATAAGGTTTTTATATATAACTTTATTATATAAAATATTATATATAAAAATATTAATAAATTAAAGAAGGTCCAACAGGTTTAATCTTTACTCAGACCAGTGAACCAATAACTTGATCGATTCAAAGACCAATCGGAATTTCAAACGTTTTTCCATATGTATTTTTTATTCGTCCAAAGATTTTTCAGTGAGAAATAGAATCAGAGAAAAAAATATTAATATTAGTGTCGTAGTTTCATTTAAATCTTTATTATTTTAAGCAAGTTTTCGATCTAACAAAGAAGTTAAAATGTGAGTGTACGTCGCTTTATTGTGACACTTTAAGCAACTTTAAGCATCTTTACTGATCTTCCACTCTTCAACTACACATTCAAGTTTAAGGCAAATTCTAATATTGCTGGAAATCAAAGTTAATTTAAGAAAAAAATTAATCAAAAAGAAAAAGGAAAAGTTGTTGCACAATCTCTCTGCTTATGTACAATATGTCAATATTAATTGATACTTTGAGTATAATCAACCTGCCGCTATTATTATTACTTTTTATTGTTTACAATTTTTTTTTATTACTATACTTTATGGTAATTTATATGATACTTAATATTTGATTAAGATTTAAGACTAATAATAAGGAAGACTCTACATTAATTAGATTTCTCCCTATTCGATCAACTCCAACCAGACAGTCAAAATTAGTTCTTATCTGGCCATATGAGAACCGCGGACTTTGAATATTAGGTTTAAGTCCTTTTAATGACATGCTTTTTACTTGGCACATTAAGATTTTTTTTTAATTAATTTTTTTTTTTTTAATTTGTCGTATGAGATGTAGCATTGTTTCTTTCTTTTACATACAATACACATTTACCATAGATTTTAAGAATTTTCTATAATCACGTTCTCCAACAATTATTGTTGGAAATAAAATAATCCAATAAAATTAAAAATATTAAGGGAATTTCTACAGTCCAGATTTATTGTTAAAATCATTAAATTTTTAGTACAATTCAAGCAAATCTTATTCTAATGTTATTTACATGTGTTTATTAGTGATTAGTTTGAATATGTGTAGATTTTTTCAATGTTATATTATTGAAACATCTTTTAGAAATTATGTTGAATATTTCACGTTGGATTTTTACAAAAATATATAATTTTTTTAGCCACATCTTATTTGCTTGTGTTGGTATCAAATATATATAAAGATATCGTATAATTTTGTAAGAAAGAGATTGGATTTTTTATTTGGTGGAGTGAGTTATTTAGGGGGCGATTGTATATAAATTCTACAGTAACAAAAACCAATTAAAACTCAATTTTAACTCAATTTCACTATCTTCAATATTATCAATATAATTAAATAATATCAACCAATCATTCTTACACATCACATCAACTTTAATTCACTATTCATCTACTCACATAATTTTAACTAACTATCACTTCTAATCATTTTCTCCTACTTTTACATCAAACTAATTTTAATTATTTTATTTTAAATATTATTTTAATATATTCACTAACAACTAATCATACCACCTTTTTTCAAATTTAACTATAATTAAAAAATAATCAATTTTTTACTAGTTGAATTCATATTCAATCACCCCTTAAGTAGCAATAGCTTTCTTGATACAACTCTCTGAGCCTCATTACATATATATACACATTATAGGGAGGTGGATACTACATTTTTTATTCTTAATTATCTAGATTTTTTCCACAGCCTTAAGGCTAGATTTTTGTCTAGATTCTTTAGGCTATCATAATTGCTAGATTAGTACATTTTCTAGATTTCTATAAAATGAGCTGTGAGCATTAATTCAAAATTTAACAGCTTGATTATTATACAAAACTTAAATCTTTCTTTGGAAGCACTTTTGAAAAAGTTCATTTTTTAAATAGAATTCTTAAAAAAAAAATAAAAAAAAATCATTGTTTATTTCTATAGAATATATTTTATAGAGAAACAACCATAGTCCATTTTTAATTTAACACAAAATATGAGTATTTATCCAAATGAACTTTTACATCATTTTTTTCTTAAAAAAAAGTGTTTTCAAACAAGTTTTAAATTTATGAGTTGCAATACTTCATAGGTTAGATGATTGTGACAAATAGTCTTTTATACATTGCCACAACTTAATAAGTTAGGTGATTGTACCAAATAATTTCTTTTATAGATTACACCTATCAACTATATATGTGTGACAACTATATTATATTTTATCAAATACACATTCACCGTTTTTGCCTTTTTTGTGATAATAAAAGTCTTACATATTTATCCACCATGTTCCCCTTAATAACCCCCACATATTTCGGTTTTCCGCCCTTTTTTTCCCACGCCTTCGCCAAAACAGCCGCGAAAAACGGACCTCCAAATATCCGGTGCGAGTCCAAACCCGCCGGCGATAGCGTCCCGACCCGTAAACAAACCCCGGAGCTAAAATTCGATCGAAGGGGCTTTCTTCTGCTCGGATTCGGATCCTCCGGAATCTACAACACCGTCTCAACCGAAAAACCGCTGTCTCCAGATTTCGTAAACTGCGGCGACGCCGTGAGGCCCGACGGCCGCCCCATCGACTGCTGCCCCGACCCCGGCTCGCCTCCGTCCTCCTCCGACGTCTCCGATTTCGTCCCTCCCACCGCCGCCGCCCCCACCCGCCGCGTCCGCTCGGCGGCCCAGACGGCCGCCGGAGCCGCCGCGCTGGCCAAGTACACGAAGGCGGTCGAGCTGATGAAGAAGCTCCCGGCGGACGACCCCCGCAGCTTCAGGCAGCAGGCCGACGTCCACTGCGCGTACTGCGACGGCGCGTACGCCCAACGCGGCTTCCCGGACCTGCGATTCGAGATCCACGAGTCGTGGCTGTTCTTCCCCTTCCACCGGTGGTACCTCTACTTCTTCGAGAGGATCTGCGCGCGGCTGCTCGACGACGACGCCTTCGCCCTGCCCTTCTGGAACTGGGACGGCCCCTCCGGCATGGAGATCCCGGCGCCGTTCGCCATCCCCGGGTCGCCGCTGCACGATCGACGCCGCGACCGGAGCCACCTCCCCCCGGCGGTGGCGGATCTGAACTGGGACGGCTCCCCAACAGGCCTTTCCCCCGAAAAGCAGAGGTACTACAATCTAAGCGTGATGTACAAGCAGATGGTCAATAACGGTGTTACTCCCAGGCTTTTCATGGGACAACCGTTCAAAGCCGGTGATGACATCAGCTTGATAAACGGAGCCGGGTCAATCGAGACGGCTCCTCACAACACGATTCACGTCTGGACTGGAGACCCGAGAGAGCCCAATGGAGAAAACATGGGCGTGTTTTACTCCGCGGCTCGGGACCCGATCTTCTACACGCACCACGCAAACATAGACCGATTATGGACCATATGGGCCGACAAGTTAGGCGGGAAAGTGTTCACCGACCCAGATTGGTTAGAAACGTCGTTCGTATTCTACAATGAGGACAAAAAGCCCGTTCGGGTGAAGACAAAGGATTGCCTCGATTTATCGAGGCTCGGCTATGCCTACCAAGAAATCGAGACCCCGTGGCTCAATGCAAAACCAAAACCCCGTCTACGTGAGGTTAGGGTTAGGTCACCTGATGATGTCATTACTGACGATCGGGATTTCCCGAGGGAACTAAACGAGTCTCTAAACATCGTCGTTAAACGGCGACCATCGAGGAAAATGAGTAGTAGCGAAAAAGAGAATATTAATTATGAAAATGAGGAAGAGGTTTTGGTTATAGAGATTACCGAGTATAATATCGGTCGGCACGTGAAGTTCGACGTGTACGTGAACGAGGATGACGTGGAGTCGTGCATGCCGGATAGCACGGAGTTCTTGGGGAGCTTCGTGAGCGTGCCGCGCGGGGGTCACGATGATGATGATGTCGTCGTGACGTCGGCCAGAGGGGCACAAAGGTTTGGGTTGTCGAATGTGGTGGCGGAGTTGGGTGTGGAGGAGGACGAGGTTTTGATGGTGACGTTGGTGCCGAGGACGGGTTGCGCGGGGTTGACGGTGGGTGGGGTGAGGATCGAGTTCGATGCGTCCGGGAGTGGTCCGTAGGTTTTGGCAATTGAGTGGACGAGCGGACGAGTGGTACACTCAACTTGATATGTATAGTAGAGAAGAAAGATGGATNAAAAAGGTGTTCCATTCAAAGGAGAACATTAAAAGGAATAAAGGATAAGTTGCGTGTCATTAATTTGTAAGGCGGGCCAATAAAAATTGTGTCGTAATGGATGTTTTAACTGAGATGAATTTACAGCGGGTACCGACGACGGCCACTTGATGGCAGTCGGTGCTTGGTGGCTGGTGCTCAGTCTCCCTGGCTCCTGTCGTGATCCTAGTGTTGGGTTATGGGTAGAGTTGTAAACGAATCGAGCGGCTCGCGAGTGCTCGAGTCAAAGCTCGACTCGAACTCAAATTTGACTAAACTTGAGTCGAGCTTGAACCTATATTTTGTATTGTCGAGCGATTCGAGATATATGTTCAATTACTAAAATACCCCTTACATATGTACTACAATAGTATAGCATAGGTGTTTAATGGTAATTTTATTTTTCACTTAAACATTTTCGAGTAGAGCTCGAGCATTTTGATTTCGAGCTGAGCTCGAGTGATTGTACATTTTTATCGAGTCGAGGTCGAGCCTCATAAATCGAGCTCGAGCTCGAACAACTAAAAAAACAAATTCTGCTCGATAAGACCAAATGCTTGACTCGGCTCGACTCGTTTGCAGCCCTAGTTATGGGGACGTCTCCAAGTGCGGCCTTTACGTCGGTCGGTGCGCAGTGGTCGCCAGTTGAGCTGGGGGTGGAGGGTGTGGTCTGCTGGTGACAGTTATGTGGTGGCCTTTCGGGAAGGCTTTGGGATTTTGGTCCGGATCGGAATAGCTGGTAGGGGTGTTTCTAGATCCGTGTTTGGGTCGAGGGCTAGGCCTTCTTGGGTGGTTGCCTTGGGTGTCGGTTTGTCTGGAGTGTTTGGGAGTGGCTTGGTTGCTGGGGAAGGACTTTAGTCTATTTATTAGGTTTTTTTCATGTGCTTCATTTATGTTTTGTTTCTTTTCTCTTCCTTTGGGTATGTGTTATTTGTATGGGTGTTGCTAAATACCGCACCCTTTTTTACTAAATACCGCACCCTTTTTTCTGCTGGCCGGCCGCTAATTGCGGCCACCACTGGCTCGGCCGCATCGCGGCCGCAACTCGCCCGGCCGCCTCTCGGCCCGCCGGCCCTTAATTGCGGCCGGCCCAATTTTTTTTTTTTTTTTATAATTTAAATATTTTAAAAACTATATAATTTTTTAATATTATCAAATATCAAAGAAACCAATTAATAATTGTTAAGGCAAGTTGCTATAATATTTATAGTCATTCCTTGCCTTTCATTGGACTTTCTCATCCAATGTGGGATAATTGTAAATTAAATGTTTCAATCTCCCAACCTTTTATAGCCACTTTTGGCCTTTATTATTATTGTGTTTGTAATCGATGTGGGATTGTCCCATGCCTCTAACCTTTTATAGTTACTTTTTACATTCTTTTTCGCTTTCAAAATCAATGTGGGAGTAAATGATCCCTACTTTAACACACTTTCACTATGTATGTCAAGATGAATATTACATTATCAATAATTAAACTTATTATTATCTTAAATTGATAAATGATTAAATTTAACTAAATGAACATGAAATATGGAAAAACATTATGGTTTTTACATAATAAAAGAAATGCATTTATCATCCTTGTTGACGGACGTTTCCGGTCAACGGTTAAAAAGTCAAGTAATGAAAAGAAAACGAAGAAAAGACAAAGAAATACGGTTTAATCACGGTTTTATTAACGGGTCACGAGGTCGGCCTCTCGTACGAGGTCGGCACTTGTGATATACTTAAGTTCCTTACAGGGATTTCTTACAAGTTTTTTAGAGAGAGAAAATATGAGCTCGAGTAGTTGAGATTCAACAACCCAAAAATAAATGAGGGGGTTGCTATTTATAGGAGACTTTAATGCGGCACTGTTTGGGTACTGTTCAGCGGTCTTATCGCACAGTAGCTCAACGGGACAAACCGGCGCTTCTCTGACTGATTGAGAGTGATTTCCGGATTCTCCAATCATTACCTGTCATACATTTAATGCGAACGTGGGCTGCATTAAATGCGGACACGTTCTGGCTGAGTTGGACGTCCCATCGGCAATCATGCGTAGACAAGTGGCATTATTTTATTGTGTCCGACGTCATACTTCTATCAGGAGCCGCCCTTGCGTGACTTGGAACAAGATGCCGACCTCGTAGCCACATGGATACGGTGCCGATCTCGGGACTTGTTCCCCCCGCCATTCCAGACGACTTTGACTCTCATTCAGATCGGCACCCACGTGCGGTTTTGGTGACCGGCTCCTTCGGCTCGGACCGGTACCTACGTTGGGTCCGGACTCGGATATCAACAATCCTACTTTCATTTTTTTTATAAATGATATAATTTATATATGTGTTAAATATTTAGAAAAATGTATGATTTATTATTATTATTATTATTATTATTAAATATGTTATTTATTAATAAATGTGTTATTTGTAATTAATATATATATATATTAGTGAAATTATAATTAGTATTGTAATATAAGTTGAAAAAAATGTAAAATTTATTAATTAATTAGTTTGTATGATTATATAATCAAAAAATATTATTTTATTATTTAATATATTAATTATATTTTTATATTAAAAAAGTATATATTTTATAATATATTATATATATAATATATTAATTATAACTAATATATTATGTTAGTTATAATTATAACTAACATATATACTTAAGTAAGTAACATATTTAATATATAATAATAAATTATATAATTTTTAAATTATTAAAACATATATAAATTATATTTTTTTTATAATCAAATATTTATTTATTATATAAATTATATTAGAATTTAGATATTATGTTATAAATTAGAATTTATTATCTTATAGTTAGACTTTAGAAATTATTATATTATAAATTATATTCATTATGTTATAGAATTTTATTATTATTATGTTAAAACTTAGAAATTATTAGGTTATATAACATAATACTAATTATCTCTAACAAATACTAATGACTAATGTTATTAAAATTGTAGTCCCCCTTTTTTTTAAATCCGCTCATTTTTAACTCGTTAATAAACTTTAAAATACAAAATAATATTCTTAATTAAATTTGAAATTCATAAATAACAAATTGAACGGAAAAAGTCGGATTCTGTTCGAGCAATTCATTGAGTCCGATTAATTTCGTATGATTAGATCGAATTTTATGACAAGATTGTTTGACACTTTTCTCAGAGTTATATGATTTGTGTGAATATTATAGTAGGAAAAGCATTCAAGCTCATGTTTAATTGAAGTATTAGTGACACTTTCCAAATGCTATGCCACATTATAAATAAACAATTCAATAACAATCAACGCATATGTACTTGGTCTAAAGTCAATCACAAACATAAGTTAAAATTAACAATTCAATAACAATCAACGTATATGTACTTGGCCATCTAATTTATAACATAATCATTTCTAATCTATAATACAATAATTTCTACCCACTAACAAAATAGTAATAAATTCTAATTCATAAGACAATCAATTCTAATATATAATACAATAATTTCTAACTTCTAACATGATAGTAATAAATTCTAATTTATAAGATAATCAATTCCAATATATAACATAATAAAATATAACTAATATATTATATTAGTTATAATTATAACTAACATATATACTTAAGTAAGTAACATATTTAATATATAATAATAAAATATATAATTTTTAAATTATTAAAACATATATAAATTATATTTTTTTTATAATCAAATATTTATTTATTATATAAATTATATTAGAATTTAGATATTATGTTATAAATTAGAATTTATTATCTTATAGTTAGAATTTAGAAATTATTATATTATCAATTATATTCATTATGTTATAGACTTTTATTATTATTATGTTAAAACTTAGAAATTATTAGGTTATATAACATAATACTAATTATCTCTAACAAATACTAATGACTAATTGTTCATGTGTGATTTTACACCATATTTATTGAGTATCTAGAGCTTAGTCATTGCATTAGTAGTGTACAAATCGCATATTTGTGCTTTAATTCTCTATTTGTTGGAAATGTATTACACGTGCTTGTTTTGTAGATATTTTCACATATTTGTAGAGCTTGTGGCTATTGGAGGCGCATGGTGAGTACCTAGGACCCCCGAGATGATGATGGATTGATGCACGGATGAGAAATATGGAAGAAACGAGTGAAACGGACAAAAACGAGAGTGCTGGGATGTGACACGGACGGTGACACGGGCACCATGTCCGTGTCATGTGGCCGTGTCACATGAACAGGGGAATTCCGAGGCTTGATACCTGACACGACCCGTGACACGGGCTGTGACACGGGCGTGTCAGGCCGTGTCGCGCGCTGGAACAGAATTTTAATACTTGCCTAATTTGACTAGGAGAGGTTTTTGGACACAAGAGGAAGCATATTTAACCTAGTTTGAGAGGCCAAAAAGAGGGGAACACGTTAGAGAGGCTTGGAAACACACAAGAGGAGCAATTGGAAGGCAAAAGAAGATCAACCACAAAGGGATCAAGGAGATTGAAAGATCGACGAGATTCCTAGTTTTTTTTCCTTTCTTCTTTCCTTTTGAACTATTATTGATCATGTTGATTTTGAATATGTCTATGTATTTGATTTCAAACATGAGTAGCTAAATTTCATTGATTCTAAGACATGGTAGTAGATTAATATGTTGGGATTTTGGATGATTTATCATAGTTGATTATTTTCTTGTGAACCCTATTCAAATATTTTGTTCTTATTTCATGTTTAGAACTTGATCAATTCTTTTACATGTTTGACAATATTGTTCATAATTCGAGAGATGAGTTCAATATTAGGTCTTTAATATTTGACACAATTTACTTGCTTGAATCGAGAGATTAGTAGGTCGTTGTGAGGATATCAGATCTTTTGTTCTAATTGGAGTTGAATTGCATGTGTTGAGTGGAGACGCTAATATATGTGATTTAATC